GCTCAAAATTGAGATCTTGTTGGAAATTTTTTAATTTTTGTAATAGCATTTAAATATCCAATGTGCTGATTGGTGAATTTTAGATTTTATTTTATTATTATTTTTTTTTTAGGATTTGGGTGAATTTTATAATTTAAATATGCTTTTATGACAATGTACAGTTTAATTGTTCTTTGTAAAATATTGAATTTGATGGTCTGATCAATTTAAATTTTTATTTTTATTTTTTGTTATGATGTTTTTGTGAATAGAATGTAAATAATCAACTCTTAGAGAGAGAGACGGCACCACCGTCGGAAAAATAGAAAATTTTAATATTTTTATTAATTTTGTTACAGGTTTTACTTTGCGACGATATTATACTGTCGCAAAAAATAGAAATTTTATTATTTTTTTATATATTTTTTGCGACGGCATATTCTGTCGCAAAAAATAGAAAATTTCATATTTTTTATATTTTTTGCGACGGCACCAAACCGTCGCAAAAAGTAGTATTTTTTTTTAAAAAAAAGAACTATTGGCGACGGATATTTTGCCGTCTCAAATAACATTTTTAGCGACGGTAAAATAGGCCGTCGCAAAAAAGTCAAGAAATTTCAAACGTTATTAGCGACTGCACGGTGCCGTCGCAAAAAGGTAAAAAATGCCGTCGCAACATTAGCGACGGCACTTACCGTCGCAAAAACTCTTTTGCAACCCCTGCAGTTGGACCCCCCCTCTTGCCGTCGCAAAAAGTCATTTTGCCGTCGCAAAAGTATTAGCGACGGCATTAGGAGTATTAGCGACGGTATTTTTACCGTCGCAAAAAGTCAATTTTTTTGTAGTGATAGTATATTATAATAGAACCAACCTAAACCGTGCGTCACTCTTCACACTCACTCTCACTCTTACTCTCGTCCTTGTTCTTTCTCTCTTTCATCTCTGTCCTTCCTCTGCTCTCCAACTCTCTCTCTCACGAGCAGTAGCTCTCTGTTCTTCTATGTCTCTCACAGCACACGCCACGTCGATCTCACTCTCATATTACTCATCGACCGACACTCCTCTCTCACGCTGCTGTGCTGCTCCCCCCACCGCCAATCGTCCACTTCTCTCTCACACATCACGACGGCGACGGCGACGACACATCCTCACTTTAGCACGGCACGCGGCTGCAACTCACCTATGGCTCATCCTCGCCACAGCCTCTCACAGTCGACCTTGCGCCGCAGCCGTCTCCCTGTACTCAGATCTTGAGATTTTCAGATTATTGATGATAATATGTTAGATCTGTTAGATTGTTTTTTTAATTTAATGTCTGTTATTTTTTTTTTTTAATTTAGATCTGTTAGGTTTTCAGATTATTTTTTTTTAATTTAAATCTGTTGATGATGATGATCTGATCTTGTTTGTGTTGTTGAATATGGAATCTGTGGTTGAAATTTTTTTGGGACTGAAATTTTGGACTGAAATTTGAACCAGATTTGAGATTGATTTTTTTTTTTTTATGGTCGG